GATGGTGGGCAGGGAAGAGGGGAAGGAGAGGGCAGGAAAGCACAGCACCTTTATCCTTTGAAAAGTAGTTACCAATCCCTAATGCCATGGAACAAAGACCTGCTCCCAGGGAAGGCTACTTGCTCCCTTCTGGCTGCTCTACTCTGCGGGCAATTTAGAAGACAACTGATGAAGAGCTTCCTTCAGCCACAAGCCTTGCTCTCCAACTCTGGCAGAAGTGGCAGTCTTTGCCCCCTGTTCCAATGCCAAAACACAAAAAAAGCAACTCCAACGCTGGTCCTTAGTAGTTTGCAATGTCTCAGACATAAATCCACAGAATAACTGCAAAAATCCAATTCAGTTGGAAAATACTGTCAGCTTTGTTGTGGATTCTTTGTCAATTATTTCATGCCCATCAAAGGTGAGGGGATTGTTTTTGTTGGGGATGCCCACCCCTGGAAAACAACATTATAATAAGATCTCATAGATCAAAGCTGGGAAACAAATGGCATTTTAGGCAGAACTGCACAGCTACTGCCAATGCCAAATCTGACCTGTTGATGGAAGGCTTCAATTTCCAAGGCCATCAACCTATTGGTCTTTATATGCCTACAAAAGACGAAATAACTTTGTGACCAAGCATACTACTCCCTGACAGACAGGCTTAACAGATTTCAGACAATATCTTTTCTTAAGAAAGTATCACATTTTGGCAGAATTGCTCCTTACAGAGCGCAGCATCACTCATAACCTCAGAGGTTGTTTCTATGTTGTTATTTCGGTACTGAAAAGCCAGAAGCAGGTTAGGCTCTCCCTCCTTCTCTCTCACCTGTCACGTACACAGGCTAGTCTGTGAAGGGGGACAGCCCTAATTCTGCAAAAACTAAACACCAGCCTAACCAACCTGTATACAGTTCCATTAGGCCAGTGCCTGAAGAAGTATGTGCTGAACCACAGGACAACAGATGGCATACAAGCAGTTTCTAGAAAGTGGTGGTTTTTAATCTGTTGCATAATTATTCACTAATAAAAGATTGACTCTTAACAAAACCAAAAGGGCCAATTCTTAGCTGCCACACTCCCCCAGAAATGTAACAGGAATAACGTCTTAAAGGGCATTAGCACCAGCAAAGAAGCAGCATATTACATTGAATGTGTGGGGCTTTCTGATTAGGCACTGTAACTGAAGCCCCACAATGAGTAATTTCCTACTCAATAAGACTCGTACCATCAATTAAAACACAAAATTAGCAATGAATCCACCTGGAGTGCTAAAAGCAGGTCTGTCTGTTCTTTCTCAAGTTTCTGAGGTCATTTTATAATTAGCATTTATCTAAGATTTTTTTTTACAAAAAATAACTAAAGCTTCCTACCCACAAACTTCCTTTGGATAGCACTTGTTTGTAACTAGTTAGACACAGACTTCAATTAAACCTTAAAGCACAAGTCTTGCTCAGGAGTGTGAATTACAGTCCCATTAACTAATGAACAAAAAGCAAGCAGTGAGCCACCAAACTCTGGACACCGAAGCAAAGACCAGTGCCTTTGGACTCGGAACTGATCCTATTTATTTTTTTCCAATTAATGGGCACTGGCTACGAGAAGTGTAATCTATCTTCTGTAACACCAAGGTGAAAGTGATCATGAACACAGAGAAAGTCAGAATATTGCACAGAAGGAGAGACAACCAAGGGCCAAAGCATGCAGGCAGACTACAGGCCTTTCACATGGGGTAGTAAAGAAGTAGGTTTTATTAAAGGACGTACTTCCAACAGAAGAAGGGAAATAGATGGAATGAGTGAAGATTATAACATGGTTTACATTTAAAATCATCTGACCTATACACAACAGAAATGGACTGCTTTCCAGAAATGGAAAGCCTATTTTGCCAGTAGAAATTAGAAGTACCTGAATTGCTCAGCTTAAGAAAACAAAGATGTAACCATAGAGATCAAAGATATCTGTATTAAATGATGAAGGTGCACTTGAAGGAGGAGAAAGACCCTTTTAACTAAAAAGCTTAAGAACAAAAGGGCATAAACCAGTCACAAGTAAGTTTAGGCCAGAAAAGGGGAAATATTTCTAATCAGGACAACAAGCTTCTGGAACAGGCTCTTCCTAAGACTGCTAGGAATCCAAGTGAACAAATAAATAGCCATCCCAACCCTTCACTAAATAAACGTAGGCTGCCCAGCTCCCATTTTAAGACAGAGATCAAGAGTTGCTTATTAGAAAAAGTAAGCAGAATTGATGGCCAGAGGTGTCTATTCCAGTCTTGGATTAGTGAGTCAATGATGTAAAGGTAAATAATCACTAAAACAGGTTATCAACTTTTTAACAAACTTCCGTTTGTGTGCGTGTGTGCAATGACTACCGAGAGGGGAATTAAACTCCTCAAAACATAGAATTGTAGAATTGCTGTTCACTCTGCTTTTGACCTCCACTGGTAACTAATTTTGCAACGGTTGAGACCCACAGATGCTACACAGAAATATCAAAGAATACACATTTTTATGTCACAGCTATTGTAAAACACTGTCCCATGATCAGATTTAATTTTTATTCATACCGGTGATTCCAGTAATAGGTAATAAAGAGCAGCTGGAGCAGTAAACAAGGAAAAAAAGAGATTACTCAATAATCAAATTAAACAAGACTGGCTTTATCAGGTAGTAGCAGATCCTCTTAAACAATTTCAGATTCAAGAAGCATTTTAATAAATAGGGACATTTCTTACTCTTGTATACAAATTCATTAATGTTCCTAAAACACTCTGAATAATAAAAAAATAACACAGAAGACATCAGAGATAAAAGAGGTCCCTTAGCTCATCTTTCTTTCCTCTGCCAAGGCAGCCATACCTACAGCTTGTATATTTCGTGGTACCTGGAGGGCTAAGAGGTAGACTCTTCCTTAAATTATCATCCAAAGAACAGGCCTATAAAGAGACAGCACATGTACAGTATTGAGCATTTTCCTATGGATGATGGAAATTCTCTCTTTACAAGAGGCATCAGCTTTTCTCTCCTCAGTGCAAATACATTACTCAATAGGTTACAACTAAATAACCCTTGCACAAACAAAATGTACACTTACTCTTTCAGTATTAAAAAAGCACTTTTTTTTTTAATCCTAGTTACCTTAACATTATCCAGTGCAACATAGTTTCACAGTAACAAACACAACCTCTGATAATAACTGCTTGTAACAGTGAATATCTGAACAGCAAAGCTACTTCCCTCTCACCTCAACTGAGAAACTTCAGGATTTTCTTTAGAAATGTTTGTTAGTGGAAAATGTATTTCTGTGGGAAAGGTCATCATGAGATTCCACATTGCCACGTCCAACTACAACTTAATGCACTGAAGTTACAAGAGCAGCACCGTGAAAGATGAGGAACAAAACCAACCAGACAATTCAAATGCGTTTCAGGCTAACAACTAGAACTCCTGTTCTTTTGTAATTCAAGTGTGACCACCGGTCATTTGATATGCAACAGCCAGAACACAGACACAGCGACACCTGTACACCTCTGTGGCCTTCAGACTACCCAAATGCACTGACCTTGCTCCTCTCACACCTGCACTATTAATTACCACTGGAAATCAGCAGACTCCCATTTCCTCACAGCTGTTGTGTACACTCTGCACAAGGAACAGGCACCAGTTGTAAAGTGTGGCTTTGTTAGTGAACAGGCTATTTGGTTGCTAAACAGAGTTTTAAGCAGATCTCAAGTACAAAACCCACCATTTTTTCCTTATCATTTCTTTAGATGTCCTGTAGAGTATTTCTTAATGATCTCAAACAGGACCAATGGGTAGCTGACAAAAGTTTCTGTTCCAACTGATGCCTGTTTGTATCAGGCATACAGATTTGTGGCCTAAAAACTACAATTCATTTTATGAAGAGCGCAACATAAGTCCTTGGGGGTCCGACTTTACTTGTGTCAGATCATACCCGATCCTATGAATAGCTTTTTGCACCACAGGGGTTTTAAGCACCGCGAAGGCAAACACGGCACAGTGCGAAGAGCTATTCTTAGGACTGCGAATGACGCGACACAAGTGAAATTGGTGGGAATTTCTCCCCCACGCACCTCAGTGGGTGCGGGAGGGCACCCGTGGCTCCGGAGGCGTTCAGAACGGGCTGCTGCCCCACAGAAAGTTGCGACGCACCCTCAACAACCACATACCGCGTCCGCGGTCGGTACCTCCAGTTTAAATCGCAGAACCGGCGCTGCTCTCCACATCTCGACGTAACGAGTCGTCACCTCCCGATAAACCCGCGCAGGCACTCGGGGCACTTTCCCCAGGCGGGCTGTCCCCCCTCTCCTCCCGAGCCCGGCAGCC